TTCAGCCATATATATATAAAATAAAAAATAAAAAAAATATAAATGTTATATAAATAAAAAATAGCCATATATATAAGCTTGGGATTGCATAGGGAAGGGTAAACACCCCTGTGGTGCTCCCTTAATATAAAATAATAATAATAATAATATAAAATAATAAATCAAATAATATACAATGTAATATTATATAACAATAGAATAATACGAATACTAATAATATAAAAGATTCCTGTCCCTTCCTGTTGTCTCTCCCCCGTTCTTATCTGTGAGTCGTTTGTATGTTGGATGTTTGTAATAATATATAATATAATAAGAATAAAACTAATATTATATAACATACCAGTAATATAAAGATGAACTAAAATAATATAAAAAAATATTAACATATAATATAATAAAACTAATAATACACAACATAATAATATAATATGAAAATTAATAATATTATGTTATTAATATAATATATTGCATATGCATATAATATTTATAATACTATAATGTAATACAATATAATAATAATAATAATAATAATAATAATAATAATAATAATAAATACAATATTGTAATTATATATTTTATATTACAGTATAAAGCAATATACTAATATTGTGCTATGGTAATAATATAATACATTGTATTTACATTTTACTTGTAAGCCGCTCTGAGTCCCCTTCGGGATGAGAAGGGCGGCATATAAATGTTGTAAATAAAATAAATATCATATAATATTAATATAAAAATGTAATATAATATAAATAAAATAGTAATACAATAAAACTAATAAGATACAACATAATAATATGAAAATTAATAATGTATAATATACAATTCCTCTCACTTCCTGTTGTCTCATCCCCGTTCTTAAGTATGAGTCGAATGTCTGTAACTCGAGGACTGCCTGGTATTTGGCAACAAAACCCCCATGTTCCACCCAGAAACACCAAGTCACGGTAAAGTCCTCTTGAAACGATCTGGAAACCATTTAAAGGTTGCATTTCCTCATGCCCCCCATAAAAACTGCAATACACAAAAGATACACAAACGAGCATGGACCTGAGTTGGAAAGGAGGCTTTAAAAGCGACAGGGAGGGCGCATGCATTTGTGACGCGCGTTCCTGCGGAAGGGCGTACCTGCTGTGGCGGGGTGATGCTCTCCTGCTCGTAGAACTCGGCAGCGGTCTGCTTGGGCTTGATCTGGAGGCTGAGGCCCTTCTCGAAGGCCTGGTGCTCCAGCATGAGCGTGGAGCGGAACCAGAGGTTGTGGGTCTTGCCCAGGTACTTGAGCACGCAGGGCCGGATGGGGATGGGCGGCACGCACTGCGACAGGCCCTCCACAAAGCAGTTCAGCGCGCTCGGCTGGCAGTCCCGCTGCACCTGGTGGCTCCCGCTGCACAAGAAGGGGCTGATCTCCCCCGCCAGCGCCTGGGAGGATGAGAAAGGGACATAGACATCACCTGCAAGGCACAGGCTGGCAGCAACACAGGATACACAGGTCCACTTTCTTTGTACTTGCAAACAATCATTCCTCAGATAGACACATACAACACAGGCAGAAACTCAGACTGAGCCACACAGGAGAGAGGGAGATGGATTCTTTCATCCTCCTTATTGAGCCACTGTAAGACTGTAGGTTTTCTATAGCAATATTAAATGATCACTCACAAGCCGGTTTTGCTTKGAAATKRATATATTGCTTGTATCTCTGCAGCAAAGAAAGACACTACTGACTTTTTCCCACCACCACTTCCTTTTAGACACCTTTCCTGCCCATCTCCCTCTCTTCGTAGTTTCCTTATTAGAGCTTGTTGCTTCACAAGTTCAAAATACAAGGTTTCCAGCRCCCTCAAAATGCCACAGAGAGAGAATTGATTCAGCCAGGATGGCTCAGTCAGGATGTCACGGAGGGAATTTGTGATGTCTTCAGGCCGTCAGAAATTGACTCCTGACAGCCACCTGCTGACAGGTCATCAGTAAGCGACACTGGCTGATGCAACCCCTTGGCAATGACAATGGCTGATGCAAACTAGTCATCAGATAGTCACATACAACACAGGTAGATACTCAGACTGAGTCACACGGGAGAGAGAGAGATGGATTCTTTCATCCTCCTTATTGAGCCACTGTAAGACTGTAGGTTTTCTATAGCAATATTAAATGATCACTCACAAACCGGTTTTGCTTTGAAATTGATATATTGCTTGTATCTCTGCAGCAAAGAAAGAAAGTACTGGCTTTTTTCCCCCACCACTTCCTTTTATACACCTTTCTTGCCCATCTCCCCCTCTTCTCAGTTTCCTTATTAAAACTTGTTGCTTCACAAGTTCCAACACAAGGCAATATTGTTATGTCGCTGCTCAATATGATCAATATTGTTATGTCCAGTAGCCTCCAAAATGGACTTTGGAGGGTAGTGGACTCACTTTCTTTTGAGACCTTTAAAGAGAGTTTGGAGGGGTCTTGCTTAATAATGCTTGAGCTGTATATTCTTAGAGAGCAGCCAATTGGACTTGATCCTTTGGTGTTGTTGTTTTGTTTTGTGTGTTGTTTACAAAGATCCCACACTTACATGCTGCTGCCTATCGGACAAGATCTTCCACAGCCTGGAGAACAGCTGGATCCAGGTCTTCTCGGCTAGCGGGGTGGAGATGTGGCACAGCTGCACAAAGGCACTCAGCAGCGCACCCGTCTGCAAAGGAAGGAAGGAAGGAAGGAAGGAAGGAAGGAAGGAAGGAAGGAAGGAACCCGGTTAGGCACCCGGAATACCATCCCATTCACTCACATCTATCGCTCGCCTTCTTTGGTTAAATCAGCTCTCCAAAATGCAAAATGTGTCTGAGATTCAAATAAAGTGGAGTCACATAATATGGTCATCTTACTGCTGAGCCAAGACAACGTCACAGGATGTGCAGGGACGTAAAGTGGTTTGTCGTTTTCCAAATTGCGACGTCACTGAACCACTGAATTTTGGATAGCAAGTGTCCCAGGAGCAAGCAAAATACAACAGAGTCCTTTCACGGCAAACACATGCTTCAACTCCATCTATCATCAGAGTCCAACTGCCAGCATCTGACCTTATCTACACTTTACTTTACTTCTTACTTAGGCAATCCCTCGTCTTCCGAGGAGGATTGTCTTCCAGTGTTCTTGTGGGTCCGTATGTGGCTGTGGAGCCCTATTCTTGGCCTGCATCTTCTTCCGGAGTGAGGGCATTGGTTTCCAGATAGAAGGTGGTCCCGGTCGGGGTTGGCTTGATGCACCTTCCTCTTGGCACGTTTCTCTCTTTCACCCTCCACTCGTGCCTCTTCAAATTCTGCAGCACTGCTGGTCACAGCGGACCTCCAACTGGAGGGCTTCCCAATTCTCAATGTCCATGCCAGAGTTTTTAAGGTTGGCTTTGAGCCCGTCTTTCAATCTCTTTTCCTGTCCACCAACGTTCCATTTTCTGTTCTTGAGTTCAGAGTAGAGCAACTACTTTGGGAGACGGTGGTCAGGCATCCAGACAACATGGACAATCCAGCGAAGTTGATGGCGGAGGACCATTGCTTCAATGCTGGTGGTCTTTGCTTCTTCCAGCACTCTGACATTTCCCCGCTTGTCTTCCCAAGAGATTTGCAGGATTTTCCGGAGGCAGCGCTGATGGAATCGTTCC